TTTAAACATATGTATGGATGTGTGTGTGCTTGTGTTTCTGTGTATGTGACTGTGTTTGTTTGTGTGTATGTAAATGTGTGTATGTATATGACTGTATGTCTATGTATGCAAAAACTGTGTTTTTATGCTTGTGTATTTATGTGTGTGTTTATGTGATTGTGTTTCTACGTATATGACTGTGTTTGCATGCTTGTGTGTTTATGTGTGAATATGTAGATGACTGTGTGTGATTGTATGTTTATGTATGTGTCAGGAAGCTTAGTGAATCCGATATGTATGTACATATCTGTCCATGGTATTAAGTATCTTTATATGTGACAATGTGTGTGATCGTTTGTCTTACGTATGTGAAGAAAAGTGTGATTGTGTTTATGTATGTTTGTAAGTAAACAGTACATGTTATTGTGGTGTAAACACTTGACTGGTCTAGGACATGGGTAGGCAACCTTCAGCACCCCATATGGAGTGCCGAAGGCTGCATACTCCTGATCTAGACCATCAGAACCCTATGTACATCATTGAATGACAGTTAAGGATTAATGGTAGTTGGGATTAATGAGGCATTGTGTTAATTTAGGTTTAGGGATGGAAGGCTTAAGGTTTACAAGGATTTAGGGTTAAAGGGTCTAAAATGTGAAGAGTAATCTGCAATGTATTAAATGTATTCAGGCATATTCAAATGGGATTACTTAGCGACGTAACAACTACAGGTCAATGTAGAAATTGAAAGAAAATTATTTGAGTGCTGGCTCATCTTTCTTTGCCAAATTATATCCGAGCGGTGTGATCAAAGCCAGGTTTCTCCCAATACCTAAACTCTGCCCATTGTCTCTAGCTTTTATAATGAAGAATACATTATAACATTATTCATCCAACATTGAATTGCAATGACAGTGTGTTAGAATTGAACTGGTCATTGTGCTTTGAATATTATTTTAAATATTTTATTAATCAACATGATGGTTAAAACTATTTAACATAACTATACACAATATGCTTATAAAAAAGTTACTAATATATAAAGAAACAGCACATCTGCTCAGTTAAATAATTGGGGTTGTATTCCTAGTGATCCATCTACAAATGCAAGCTTTGCCAATTTGTGTGACATTTTCTTTTCTTTACACACACAGAATAATTCGTTTTCCACTTGGCATAAAGCTACAAATTGAGGGACTCTTTCTCGAAATCTCCAAATTTACCAAAAGCTGGGAATGTTGTAGATTCTGAAAAGTTGGAAACCAGATACTCGAAACATGAGGAGAGATCGTTATTATTAGTATGAATAACAAAGAAAATATTTCACAGAAAAACTCAAATCAAATAGTTGGGCTGCAAAGTGTCATACTAGTGTGTAAGTGAATGGAAAAAACTCTGGCAAGTATACAGATTTCTGTTTTAGATGGTTATTCACTACACAGTGAGCTAAACATCCAGAATTTAGATCAGAACAAAAGATCTGATATATAAAATAATAATAATCAGTAAATTTGGCATTCATTGGTCCTTGTCACCTCACTTCAACTCACAGTTTAATGAATAAGAGTTTAGTTAAAAAAAAAAAAAAGAAAAGAGTTTAGTGTGGTGAAGGTTTCTCTGGGCACTGCAGATGTTTGTAAACATTATGGCAAGGATTCATGGGAAATATCCATCAACTCACATGAATCTGCAGTACCATTTTACCCATCACTGCTGCTCAACATGACACATAGTGCAACACAGCATCCTGATATGTGTTGCCCCTATATTTATGTTTTCTTTGTTACTATTCATAAAATATCATTGTTAAAAAAAAAAAACAGTGTGTGTATGTGTGTATGTGTGTGTGTGTGTGTGTGTGTGTCTGTGTGTGCATGTGTGTGTGTGTGTTTTGTCCACAGTGCATTTGTATTGATTGCTTCTAATTCTGTGACAATCTTTAAAAGTACAAAGTTTGAGTGGTATAATAAAACACTGCTTAACTACTTACCCAATGCTCTGTCTCCAGGTAGACAGCTGGGGGAGGATTGTACAAGTCCCAAAATGATGGCCAGCAGGGTCCCGATTAGAGTTTTCTTCATGCTTGCTTTCTTTGTCTGCAGGCTGAACATTGATGTGGCAGAAGGACTAGCAGAACTCTAAAACTGCCTGTACTATCAAGCTACTTTTTTTTCCAGGCATCTAAATTGCTCACGTGTTACAATGAACACATCCCGTAGGTCATGTTACAAGTTGCAAGTTTTACCAGGAAAAAAAAGGAGAGAGCGATTTATGAGCAGGCTGTAGATACTCTGCACGTTTAACTTACTGGAAGATAATCATTCTCTCATGGGGACTGCTAGGTCTTATTTGAGAATTAACTGTAATAAAATGTAACAGGCAACAAAAATACAAGGTTCTCACTTCTAGTTAAATCCTTTCAGTACTAGAGTTTTATTACTTTATTAAACAAGGGGTTAACTTTTTTTTTTTTAATTTTGACTAAATGCATATGGTTTTGAATGTTCCCATCCTAAAGGTTGCACAAGAACAGTGTTTACGTTTATAACAAGTAACCACACCACCACAAAAATGCTTGCAAATTCTTTCAATCCATAGTGTGTAACTCGTTCAATGCTGGCATGCTCACCATTGCTAATTTCTTCCCATAGTATATTTCTGTTTACAATTCATTGCTTGGGGGCTGCATAGACTAGCAGTTAATATGTACAACCAGGATGTCACAATGTACAAAGTTATTCTCCTGATCATATTTTGTTAGGAATTAAAATAGATTATTTTTCAGGCCAAAATAGCTGAATTTATAGCTGACTTGAAGATTTGCTGTTTGGCTATCTGATCCTTAAATTTGAAAATCTCAATAACCCTGTTAGTTTTGCGACTTTCAAAATCTCCTGTCCTCTTCAGAAGGTTCCAAAACAAACTGCAAAAGTCTCCCCTCTGAATACCATCACTTATCTTTTTTACAGTGAAATTTAACCCTAGCTAAATATATACAATTTAAACAGACATACCCTTTAGTTTAGTAATGTTCAGAAAACCGAATGTGTCTCTTAAAGATGCTTTTATTCCTTTATGAGTTATTTCAATATTTTATTACTTGTAGGACCACTAGTCTAAAAACCTTATGAAGACCACCATGGTAACCAGCTGAGCCATAGAGTGCTATAGAGAGAGACCCAGCATGTCCAAAGCCAAGGCTGTCAATTACAAAGGTCCATACGGATACCAGAAACAGAAGGATCGTGAGTCCAGATCATGCGTCCGATATAAATGTGCTCTGACAAACACCATAGCAGATGTTCTGCGGCAGCGACCAGGCTGGGTGGAAGTGAAAGAGGATGGTGAGTGGGATTTCTACTGGTGTGATGTGAGCTGGCTGCGAGAGAACTTCGATCACATTTATCTGGAGGAGCACGTGCGCATCTGCCATTTCCGTAACCACTACGAGCTAACACGCAAGAATTACATGGTGAAAAATCTGAAGCGATTCCGTAAACAGCTGGAGAGAGAATCTGGCAGACTGGTGGCTGCACAGTGTGACTTCTTCCCCAAAACATTCGAACTGCCAGCTGAATATCACCTCTTTGTAGAGGAATTCCGCCAAAACCCTGGAATTACCTGGATTATGAAACCGGTGGCCAGATCACAGGGCCGTGGAATATTCCTGTTCCGGAAGCTGAAGGATATCATGGATTGGAGAAAGGACGGTGGACGTACAGACGACCAGAAAGATGAAATTCCAGTGGAAAATTACGTGGTTCAACGTTATATAGAGAATCCTTATTTAATTGGAGGGAGGAAGTTTGACCTGCGAGTTTATGTCCTGGTTACGTCGTATGTTCCCCTCCGTGCCTGGCTGTACCGTGATGGATTTGCACGCTTTTCAAACACACGATTCACACTTAGCAGCATTGATGACCACTATATCCATTTAACCAATGTGGCAATCCAGAAAACTGCACCAGACTATGACCCAGAGAAGGGATGTAAGTGGATGGTCCAACGACTGCGCCAGTTTTTAACGGCTCGCCATGGTCCAGAGGAAGTTGAAAATCTCTTCCAAAACATGGATAATATCTTCATCAGGAGCCTGCAGAGTGTTCAGAAGACCATCATCAACGACAAGCACTGCTTTGAGCTGTATGGCTATGACATCCTGTTGGACGAGGACCTTAAACCGTGGCTTTTGGAAGTGAATGCCTCCCCTTCTCTGACAGCCAGCAGCCAGGACGACTATGAGCTGAAGTGCCACCTACTAGATGACACGTTGCACGTGGTGGACATGGAAGGCAGACTGACTGGGAAAGAGAAACGAGTTGGGGGTTTTGACCTCATGTGGAACGATGGCCCAGTGTCCCGGGATGACGGATTGCAGGCCATTCTCATCAATGGATCTTTTGCTGTAAACACACACCTAGGCTGCATTAATGATCGACTAGAACAGCTCAGACAGCTCCTGAAACCCACACCTGCTAAGAAACTGTGACATCCATCACTTCTCAATACGCTGCATTGAGTGAAATCCATTTCCACATTTCATGTACAAATATAAACAACCGTCTGAACTGTCCTATGTTAAAATGCTTAAAAGGAATGGAATTGGTGTGAGTTGAAAACCAAATGGCAGAAATTAAGCAAACATTTTAAAAGATTCCTCATCACCGCTATAATCACAGATTGGGCTGAATCAGATACACTGAAATCCTTCACAGTCTGGTATTTCTCCAAATCCATGTATGAGAACTTCTGGAATACTATTTGCTATACATGCTTTGTACTAAACTAGGCATCTCAAACTGTACACTCCCCCAGATGTTGTTGAACTAAAAACCTTATGAAGACCACCACAAGGGGCAATCTATATTTTTCTATCATCTGTCAGGAGTGGATCATTCAAATCAGCAGAATATTAAACAGAGGGATTTTTTTACAAACCAGCCTAGGTTTGCAATAGCACTTTTATATTGGAACAGTGGTATTAGCCAAGATGTAGGTCCACAAAACAGGGCTTGTGTTTATGAAAATTTGAGCCCTGTTTTGATATTTAAAGATAATTATGAATATTATAAAGAAACAATTGGACATCACATTGGTGACCCAGGTCACATGACCAAAAGAGAGGAACAAAACAGCATTAGAGAGAAAGAAATGTGAGAAAAGGGGCAGAAGCGCGGACAGAGAATCTGAATTAAAAAATTTTACTGGGCCAGTACACACAGACTGGAACAATGGATAAAATGGAAAATGTGTCTAGTTTTCTTATTTTGGCCCAAAAAATTGTGGTGTCCTAATGGAAAAAATATTTAGACACATTTCTAATTAGTGAAGCCTACATTGCAAGAATAACTTTCCATAAATCATTATGTTATTCGTAATCCAAGTAATACCTTGTTTAACTCCCTGTATTACAATTGGAAAGGGAACAGCTGGGGCAAACACACAAAAAAGCAGAAACAAAAAGTAGAGACCTCAGGAAGTTTGTAGAATTATAGAGCAAACAGACATAAAAAATGTCACACGGGTGATAAAAAGTAGGGATCTGTCTCCAAAGAGCCAATTAGTTGTAGTAATAAAATAAATATTCTGAGAGGGAAGTGGAACTCCACACACATAAAGCACTTAAATTTGCTGAAGTGCTTCGCATGTCTGGAGTCTGTCATATTTGTGACCCTTTGTAAAAGTACTGATTTCAATAGAGATCTGCAGTTTTATAACTTGTCAGAAACACAGTTTTTAACTTTTCTTTTAGCTCCACAGAGTTAACAGAAATGGCAGACGTGTTGGACTAGCTACTACTAAATAGTTAAAACAAATTCGTTTTCATTGGAGTGTTTTGTTAAGGTGGGTCTATGATTTCCATTAGCATTGTTTTATCCTCTAATCCACTATTCCCTATATCACAATCTTTCATTGTCTATATCACACTCTTTATCTGTCTATGTCACACTGTTTTGTTATCTGTGTCACACTGTTTCATTGTCTGTATCACACTTGCCAGCCTCTTCTCCTGGGGGGCCCAAGATCTAGCCAGTTGGCCACCTTGGGTCTCCCTGAGGCTGGCATCTGCTTGGGATGGAGGCGGGTGGTGAGGGAGCCCTCTCACCTGAGCTCTCCCTGCTCAGCTCCCTCGCACTCCCCGTAGTGATGCCGAAGCCGGAATATGACATCACTCTGGCCCCAGCATCACAGAGAGGTGCGCAAGGGAGCCTTGAGCAGGAGGATCAGAGCTCCCTCACCGCCTGCCTCCACTCTGCGCCTGCCTTCCCGACTGCCCGCCAATCTGCAGCCAGCCCCACTGGACCACAGGGAAGAATCCACTCCAGCACTCCCAAAGGTAGGGAGGCTGGATTGATTGGATATTAAAAAAAAACAATTATTAGTCTTTGTGTCTGCTAATGAGTGTGTTAGTGTCTCTTAGTGTGTGTGTGTGTGTGTGTGTGTGTATCTATTAGTGAAAGGGTGTATGTGTGTGTGTGTTAGAGTGTGTCTGTTAGAGTGTGTCTGTTAGTGAGAGTGTGTGTTTGTTAGTGAGAGTGTGTGTGTGCGTCTGTTAGTGAGTGTGTGTCTGTTAGTGAGAGTGTGTTTGTCTGTTAGAGAGTGTGTAGTGTGTCTGTTTGTGAGAGTGTGTGTGTGTGTCTGTTAGTGAGTGTGTGTGTGTGTCTGTTAGTGAGAATGTGTGTGTCTGTTAGTGAGAGTGTGTGAGTGTGTTAGTCTGTGTCTGTTAGTGCGAGTGTGTCTGTTAGTGAGTTAGTGTGTGTCTGTTAGTAAGAGTGTGTGTGTGTTAGTCTGTGTCACTTAGTGGGAGTGTGTGTCTGTTAGTGAGTGTTAGTGAGTGTCAGTGAGAGTGTCTGTGTCTGTTGGTTGGTGAGTGTGTGTGTGTGTGTATGTGTCTGTTAGTGAGTTTGTGTTTGTAAGTGAGAGTGTATATGTGTTTGTCAGTGAGTGTATGTGTGTCAGTGTGTATGTATCTGTCACTGAGAGTTTGTGTCTATCAGTGTGTGTATCTGTCACTGAGAGTGTGTGTCTCTCAGTGTGTATATGCATGTCTGTCAGTGTATGTATGAATGTGTCAGTGTGTGTGTATGCATGTCTGTCAGTGTGTGTGTATGCATGTCTGTCAGTGTATGTATGAGTGTGTCAGTGTGTGTGTATGCATGTTTGTCAGTGTGTGTATGCATGTGTAAGTGTTTGTATGTCTGTTAGTGAATGTGTATGTCTGTCAGTGTGTGTCTGTCAGCTAGTGTATGTGTCTGTCATTAAATGTGTGTGTCTGACACTGAGTGGGTGTGTGTCTGACACACTGAATATATATGTCTGTCAATGAATGTGTATGTGTGTTTGTCAGTGTGCATCTGTTATGAGTATATTTCTGTCTCAGTGTGTGTGTGTCTGACACTGAGTAAGTGTGCGTCTGTCAGTGAGTGTGCATCTGTCAGTTAGTGTGTATGTGTGTCTACCGGTGAATGTAAGTTTGTGTAACTGTAAATGAGTGAGTGTGTATACCTGTGAATGTTTCAGTGAAAGTGTATGTTGGTTAATGGGACCCTGTAGGCACCCAGAGATCTGCAGCTCATTGAAGTGGTCTGGGTGCAAACTCCCATCACCCTTAACCCTAGAGTGGTAATTATTGCAGTTTTAATAAACTACCTGCTAGGGTTAACTCCGTCTCTAGTGGTTGTCTACCAGACAGCCACTAGAGGGACTTCCGGACTGGAAGGCGACTTTTGGTCGCCTAAACGACGCTGGATGTCCTTACACTATGCATGAGGATATCACGCATCATCAGAATCCCCGTAGGAAAGCATTTCATAATGTTTTCCTATGGGGAAATCCTAATGAGAGCGAAACCATTGCCACGCATGCGCATTAGGTCCGCCGGTGGGAAGCAGCGTGGGCTGAGCCATCACTGAAGGACATCAGCGCTGGACCCAGGTAAGTGACAGAAGGAGGGGGGCTTTGACAAAGGGGGAAGCTATAAGTGTCAAGAAAATGAGTTAGTTTTCCTGGCACTATAGTTTCCCTTTAATCATTGTTTGTGACATTGACTGTGTATCTGTTAGCGAGTATATGTCAGTGCATGCATCAGTGAGGGCATGTGTCTGTCAGGAAGAGAAACTTGGAAGGGGGTAGGGGGGTGCCCAAGTTTTGTCACCATAATTCACTGTCCAGTGATTAAACCCCAACGTTTTTTGTTTGGAAGTAAATTATGTTTGTACAGTTTTGGCAGCATCAGCAGTTCTTGGGCATTTTAAGTCCCTCTGTTTTGTTTCACCACTCCTGATATAACCCTGGCACAGCTCCAGCGTACTGGCGTCACTAGAAGACCAAAAGTACTATGCTTTTTAACATTTCTTCTAACTCAATGTGTATAGTTTTGCCTACAAGTTCTTTCCACTATGAAGTTCTCTTAGTTGGAGTAATTAAAAAGGAATGTTTACAATTATTGAAAGTCCTAATTCTAAAACCTATTCCTTTCAGAAATATTTTTAACTGTATTGTAGTGTGGTAACGCGTACACACAGAATGTGACTGCAATTCCTTTGAAGTAATAAATGTCATTTGAAAATGAAATGTTTGCCAAATATAGACATAATTTTTTAAATAATTGTATTTTTAAATAAAAATTAAATGTTTGCTAAATATAGACATCATTTTTTAAATAATTGTATTTTTAAATAATTAAAATTTTGTGCAGAATGTTTGTATGGGAACGTTATGCATGCAATCCAATAAAAATGTCAAAAACATTCCAGGATTTTTAATATTATGATTACATATCCTCCATATTTAACAAATAGATATTTGTGGAGACTGAAAAATAAAAATGAAATATGAATATTCACACTAAGTTATCCTGGAACTAATTGCCTCCATCTTGGCTCCCTGTCAATTACTGCTATAAGCTATGCCTTGGCTGTGCCAGGACTGATCATGATTGATGTACACTGTAATATATAAAAGATAATACAGCCTCACACAAATAAAAGTACTAACACAAGCTATAGGTGGTTATTAATGTTTCATTCACTCAATTGTGTCATGAAAAAAAGTTGCAAAAAAATTAAAATCCAACCAGAAACAGAAAAAAGTAGGAGTGGTCATGATGGTTGCTGGTGCAAAACATGTAATGTTTATTCCGCGGTGGATAATATAATATAGGGTCCCAATTAGGATCACGTCTTACATCTGCTAAATGGCCTTAACGATTTTACTATCACAATGGAGTATAAACGTTTTTAAAGACATGTACTTTGCACAATGAAATTTGACCCATTAAGCCTCACCAATCCTCATTTATACTATAGGTATAAGTGCATTTCTCTGCCAGAAGTCACTGCTTAATGGTTTTATGGCTGCAAGTGTGCTGAACTGCTCACAGCTCACTCCCTGGTTTTAAACAGTACAGGATGTTTCAATGGGTCTTTTTATTCCTAAGACCCGTGAGCAGGGAGGAGTGAATGGACTTCACCATTTCATTGTTATCATTACATTAACATTTCAGAGATTGATATAAAGATTGATCTTACTGTTTTCAAAAACCTTTTTCGTAATATACAATTTAACTATATTTACTGTATGTGGGTATAATGCTCAAATGCAGACATTTATACATTCTGCCTCCGCTTTTTGTAAACTATGCTGCTAGTAATGTATAACGGACCGTTTTGCACACAAGAGGTTAAAAACCGTTTAGGCGATATTCCCCTTTCAGATGCACAGGCAGCTACTGCAATCACCAATCTCCCAAACTGCAAACACACTG